ATAAAATATATTTACTTCCTAATAAGTAACTTTTTTTACTTTGTGATCTAAAAATATAAATAATAAATAAATGCTTTAATAATAACGGTATAAATTTTTTAAAATATATATTTAAATAAATTATATTTCAATGTAACTCGTTATGCTCTATAAAAATAAAAAATGGCGCTTAACACAAAGTACTTGACATTACAAGTAAATAATATAAAGAATGACACAGTTTCTAGTGAATATCTGTATAAATTTAATTCTTTTGCAAGTATTAAGAACTTGGTATTTTTATGAATTAAATATATGACTGAACTCTATATGTTGTGTTGGTTTATAATACTTAATAAATATATCCTCAGTATGTATTCGATGTTTTATAAGTATTTATTATGATAAAATAAGTATTAAACCTGTATAAAGATATAAACAAAACTTGTCAATAGTATAACTGCTGTATTAATTTAACAGCCTGATAATCCAGGTATTTTAAAAATTGCTGTTAATTATGGCTCTATATGCAAAGAATAAATAAGAAAAGAAATATTTTCAGATAATAAATAGAAAAATATTTATATACATTTTTATATATTCGAGTGACAATACAATAACTCTAAAATTTTTTCCGGATTTTATGCTTAATTAATAATTACATTGTAATGACTTTCAAGATTAAAAGAACATACCACGATATTCCTAATTAATAAGGAAGAGTAAGGGTATTTGCATTAACTTTATTATGCGAAATTGCGAATCATTTAATGTATGAATCAGCAATTTCTCAAAAGACCAGCGTGAACTACTGTCAATGGGAATAGCTACTACAGTAATTGCAAAATTCATTGTGTAATTTCTCAAAGATAACGATTTATTTATTTATTTATTTTTATTTCGATCAGCTCTTAACAGAATATATAAGCAAATACTGCCAAACTTTAATGTTTAAAAAATTAAAGTTTCAAATTATAACATTTCTTAGTCGCTATTTTTAACTTCTTACTTCATTAAATTTTCAATTTACGACTCGTAAATAAAAAATAACTTTTAAAACAAAATTTCGTAAGTTACGTGGGAAAATATCTAGTTAAATAATTGTTTAACACATATTTTCATTATAGAGTTATTAAATTAAGAGAGTTCGTTCAAGCAAAGAATTGAACTGGGATTGTCTTGAAGGAAGTAATGTTTTCTTTCCGTTATAACATAATGTATAACTTATAATAAGCTATATATTGTCTTTTGCAAAGTGATTTAACCAGTTAAGTCGTCACGTATAACTTAGAAGGAAGACATTTAAAAGTTTCTTAACTCAATAACTAACTTCAGCTAAACTTATCGAAAGTTTATTTCAGATAATTTTTATAGACATATAATTATAAACATTCCGCGGTTCGTTCCTTTGAAATTCGAAAAGCAAGTCATTTTTATTATATTTTTTCGTACGTGTTGAAGGGTTTGAATAAAAATACGTGCCGACGGACGTGTTGAACTGGTTCAACGTGATTTAGGTCAAAGGGTCTCGTAACTATGTAGTAGCACATATTTCCACGTGTTATCTTCTTTACGTTGGAATTTCGTCATCAAGTTACTATACACGATTTCATTCCGCTTGTCTTCTTAAGTAGTCAACTCTCAAATTAGAACTTAAATGATTAATGATCATCTTCGGCCAATCTGGGTATCTTTCATAAAAGTAGGCATTCGTCAATGATTAAATAAGTTTTATTACATTCTGTTATTGTCTGTCAATGGCTGTTTAAGGATGAGTGATTATATGATTTAAATTCAGCATTGTCCCGAGTGAAAAAACATTCTCTGCTTTCAAAACACGATATTATTTGTCGTGAGATTGTAGATTTTCGCCATTAATTACATGCATAAACACATACAACGAATTAATTCGTGTTAAAAGCAATTCATAAATTTTAATTTGTATTTTCGGGTATTATTTGAAGTTTTTTTTAGTGCTTATTAATTAAGCCGGAAGGAGTACATTGCGTACCCATATTGGGGAGTACTTCGATTGCTGTTTGTGAAAGTATATAGGCCTACCAAATTCCATTGAAGATAAAATATTTTCTCTTCTTGGTTATTATTCACGTCGTTAGTCTAGAAAATGTTTTAAAAAAATTCATCCTTTATGTATGGACTATAAAAATATCAGGGAAAACACGTTTCATGTAATATTGTTTATTCAATATTAATGCACGATTTTGGAGCAAGTTGAAGGAGGTTATTGCATTAACAATCAAAGTAACCGTGAATATTATAGCAAAAAAAAGTTTGTATAGTTATAATTTTTAAACATTTTTAAATTAAAGGCATTTCCAAAGTATGTATATTAATTTAGTTAATGAATATAAAATACGTATAATTATGTTTTACTTTGGAAAAAATAAAACTAATCACTGCTTTTCTAATTATAACACAAAACATAATTATTCTATTTCGAAAGTATTTACATAGTGTAAAAAAATAATCACAATATTAAGTATACGTTTAAACATAATTATAACAATTTTTGGTTTTTACGTGCTCACAATTAAATTTGCCATAGGATATTAAAACTGGGTTTAAAATTATTTTTCTTGCATTTCCGCATTTTAGAAGCGCATAAAGCAATTTTCCTCCTTTCACGTTTTAATAAATGTGGCACACGTTTCATATTTTGGGGGGATACTTTCTATTCGAGGAATTAAAATAGAAGCCGATTCTATTTTCAACTCTTTCCAATGATCCTGCGAAAAATTTTTAACATAAATAATTATATACATTTTAGAATTTATTAATAAATGTTATTGATTTGCTTTTAATTTATTATAAATATCTCTTCCGTATATTAAATAAGTTTAGAAAAGTAAAAAAAAAATTAATTATTATTAAAATTATTTTAAAATTACTTTTTTTAAGTAACTTTTAACTGAATTGTTTTTATTTACAGAGATTGATGAAGTTGTGCAGCGTACTGTGAACATCTAATTATTTATTTTGTAAAAAAGTTCTTCCCATCAAACATATTAATAATGTCTCTTAATATATGTCTATTAATATTTGATGCTGGAATATTGAATATTCAGGAATATTCTGCTTTTCGGGAAATTTTTAAAATAGGTTATAGACCACAACGTCAAGTTTCTGTTATTGAAACTTCGAAAAATGAATAAAAATTGTTTCCCATTTTTTATTTCTGCTGAGATTTATTTATTCTTTTTTTTACTAAATCGATCTGTTTACAGTAAGATAAATTCCTATTTAATGTTATAAAAAAGTTCATTGATAATTAACCGCTTATCATGGCATAACAATGGAAAATTTTATTTCATTTTTAAGTTATTATTTAAAATTATAAAATATCAAGTGATTAGAGAATGTTTTTAAATTTATGCAAATTTCATTTAAAAAAAAAATACATTAATTGTAATTAATTGCATGCCCCATTGCATCTGGGTTTTTGTTTCGATTTTAAAATCCGCCTTATAATCTTCATTATTTTAATACTCACAAAACTCTAAGAAAACTAAAAAAAGGGGGATCAAAGTTGAAATCGATTCCAACTATGAAATTAATTATCAATTTCCAAGTTGGATTTGACGATGATAAATTTATTTACCAGCTTGAAAAGTTTATTAAAGTGAAAATATGATTATTGAAGTATTGTAGAATATATCAAAAACGGAATTAATTTTTTATTATTTCTATATAACGATAAAAAAATCATTGAAGAATGAAATAGTATGTCAGAGAGACAGGAAAATCTCTCTTTCCCTCCTGGGTATATTCTAAATAAAGCCTTCTATAAAAATGAGGTCACATCAGATGCTGGACGTAACCTGTAGAGTGAGGATATGACTTTGGAAGTCTCAGACATTACGTAAGTTATATATATAATGCCTTTAACGAATTGTTTATAGAATAAACAATTATTCCAAATATTAACTTTATTTAGAATTAAGTTAATATTATAATAATTAATTCGTTACATGATAGAAAATATTCTTATTTCTTATTTTAAATTTATCAGATTTGTAATAAAAAATATTTCGTTTCTTCTAAAAATTTGTATTATATTACATGTTTATAATTATTCATTTTAACCTAAAAAAAATCCCGTACTTGAGTGAAATTTGTATTATTATATAAGACTATCGAAGCCTTAATAATATAAATTTAGTAACATTTTATTTTTGTCCTTGTCTATTTGAAGGTGACAAGGAAATATTCAACCCTAAATGAAGTTTGTTCACTCTTTACTTATCTGATGAGGTCTACAATAATTTATATAATTTTTTAATCAATCCTGTTATTCAATTCATTAAATGAACGATAAGAATTTCATTTTAAGTTTATTATAAAGAAAAATAATTAATGTAAGTTTTGAATTCATTTAGCGGCGGTTCTAAATTGATTAATTGCAAAATTGTTTTAAGAACACGTGTAAAATCTGTTTTTCATGTTCCACTTTGTTTCTGGTTTTCGAACGGTTAAGAAAATACTCGGCTATTCTTCTGAATGAGGTTTCGAGGGACTCGAAAGATAAAGGAAATAATGCGTTTTTCATTTCCTTAAATGACTATAGATTTATATTATGTAATGAACGAAATTAAATTTATATGCCCTAATTTAAAACCTATAAAAGAATTAAGTTCTCTTCTGTCTGTTAGAGACTTTATGCCATAAAGAATTATTTTTCTTTTTAACAGATTCTGGGCGATTTCCTAGGACGTACGCACGAAATATTCCGATATATAAACTAGAATATCCTTTAAAAAAAGAATATCTTCTTATTTATTCTGAGAATTTGATGAATTTTCCCGGAAGAAGAAGTAAATTTGTATGGACGAGTATTTAAAATACGTTGACCTAATAAAGTTTATAGATAAAAACAGAAAAATCTGAAATATCTTTCCTAAACGGAGGAAATATGGACATAATGAAGTCTTGAGAGGAAGATTTAAATTTCAGTAAGTTCTGGTAAGTTCAATTATACATTATTTATAGGTAAAAAGAAACGTTATACGTTCAAAGTGGGACATAGACATTAACTTTGAAAATTCTTCTTTATGAAATCAGATAATATTTTTCTTCCAAATTAATTATATTTGCTAATTAGTGTGAGAATAAGATCTTAAGTTTTGCTTCACGCTGCTATATTTCTTTTATCTTAATTGTTATTATCAATAAGGCCAACTCCGCATAAAATTTTACGTGCAAAAATTGGAAAATCTTACATTTGATTGTTTTGTTTATTTTTTTCAGGTGAAATTTAGGTGCGCAGATTTTTGGTTAGAAGTAAATAATGAAGTATAATTACATCCAAAGACTATTATCTCATTTGTATAGTCGTCTAGCATATCTGATAGCGTGTCATCCTATTTATTTTCTCTTAGTACCGATGCTTTTATCATTCGCGCTATCCTCAGGACTTACCAAGATAATCGTCTCTCGAGATACAAATTATTTGTTTGTTTCACAAAGTGGAAGATCTCAAATCGACAAGAAATTTATGAATACTTGGTATCCCCTTAATACTTCGTACAATTTCGATTTTAAAAGACTCAACGAAAAACCTAAGGCCGGTTATTTAATGATAAAACCTAGAGATGACGGCAGCATCTTTCGCGACCACGTGTTCGAAAAAATAATTATTTTAGACAAAATAGTGAAGAATATATCCATCGAATACGAAGGAAAAAGATATACGTACGAAGAATTGTGCGCAAGAAATGGAAAAGAATGTGTGGAAAATACCGTGATGAAATTGGTGCCATACGTTCATGGTATTGCCAGTGGTGAACATAGTGTCAAATATCCAGTTGATATGAATACAGTGACTTATTATCGCACTTACTACGCTGTTAATCTCGGTCAGGTGAAAACGGATAAGCAAAGGAATATTTTGGATGCAAAAGCCGTTAGACTGATGTATCCTTTAGACATTAGTAACAAATTTAAATACAAAATAGCCGTCGAGTGGGAAAGAATGTTCATAAAGTCGATGATAAACGTCACTTTTCCCGATATCACTATCGAAGTATTTGTTACTAGTTCTTTGGACGACGAATTGAAGAGGATTACCGAGTCAGTTTTAAAGTTGTGTCCTGTAGTTTTTGTAGTTATACTCATATATTCTATTCTTATAAATATGAGCTTCGATTGTGTCAGAAGTAAACCTTGGTTGGGGATTTCCGCCTGCATTTCCGCTTCTTTGGCTTTGATAGCATCTTTCGGATTTGTTAGTTATTGCGGAGTGAAGTACGCCGATATAAATATAGCTTTACCTTTTTTAATTTTGGGTAAGTAAATTTTAATTAGAAAAATTTTATTTATTGTATATTTTCAAATATGTATCGGTATTTGTAATATTTCAGTCGTTTAATTACGTAGGAATCGAAGTAGATGATGCGTACGTGTTGATAGCAGCGTGGAGGCGCACAAATCCAGAAGACGGCGTACAAAAAAGGCTAGAGAACGTGTACTCCGATGCTGCGGTGTCCATTACTATCACTTCTATCACCACCTTCTTGTCATTTTGCATTGGAATCACGACTCCGTACGCAGTTATCAAATTATTCTCATTCTATGCGGCTACTGCCGTGTTTTTTGCTTTTGTTTATCAAATTACTTTCTTCGGTGGATGCTTGGCTCTGAGCGGATTTAGAGAACAAAAAAATCTCCATCCTTTAACCTTTCACACGTTATCGGGTAGGTCTATAGATTATACAAATATTTTTCATTAGTTTTAATAATTTTATAGCTTAAGTATTTTATGACATGAAACATAAAGTTCATACAATGTATTTAACACTAAAATGTCTGGTTTAAACCTTTTAAACCAGACATTTTTCAGTCTTTCAATGCTGATTTACTATCTACTTTCCGTTCTTCATTCGGATTCCTTGCCCTCGTTTCTCAATACGTGCAATATAAAAAAGGATAAAGAATAATAAGAACCATATACCTACTTTTGACCCACCCTGTGCATAATTTTTAAATTTCTATTGAAATTTGTGTTAATTATATACTGCATAAATAAATATTTATATATTTATGAAATATTTATTTATAGGAAGAATTATTATATCAATAGAAAGTAAATATTAAATAACAAATTTAACAATGCGTAAATAGACAAACACTCTGATATATCTAATTTAATACAAGACGGATGTAATGTGACGAAAACAGACAGCTGAGTCTTACAAGTAGAGATGACTCATATATTGAAGTTATAATTTTTTTATTTTATTTAAAGGAAAAACAAGAAATAAGTAATTATTTTAGGAAAATACCTTGTGTTTTAATTATTCATATCTTAGGACCTAATTAGATTCATAATAATACATAAAACTGTATTCTAAGAAAACCAGTTTGTGTCAACAGCCTGTTAGGATATGTTACAGTTTATGAATGCAAAACAGAGCATTTATTTCTCCGATTTCCGAAAGAGCGATGACTTTCTTTAGCGATTTTAATTAAAATATTTTACCATTTTACCAGGTCAAGTTATTTAAATAAGTGAAAATATATTTAATAATATTTGTAAAAGTCATACTCTGTTAAGAAAAATATTACGTTAAACATCAAAATTCCTTTTGAAAAACGGTTTTATTTTGCTTCTTTGTTTATTGGTTTTTAAGACAATATTATAAAATAATTTTAAAATAATTTCCCTTTAAATATCTTACATATTTTCTAAGCGTAATTGGTAAAATACAGAATAAAAGTCCATAATTCTAAGCACCATTGTAAAATTTTTAGATTAGCATTTACTTTACGAAATTTATTTAAGTAATTGTTATGCATTAACCGAATTAGCAATGAGTAAAGTGATAAAGATATTTCATAGATTCGAATCTGAGACGGGTAAATGTTAAGTGTGACAAAAGTATAATGTTTGAACAAATATTTGTTGTATTTCTAGAGTTATTAATGTATTATTACTTATTTCAGAAAAGTCGAAACAAAACGAAGTGGCCATCATGAAGATTTTCAGAGACTATCTTGGCAACATTTTGGCGTTACAGAAAACTAAAATGATCGTTCTGGTAGTATTCGTAAGCAACTTGGTCGTTTCGGGATTGGGTTTAAGAACGTTAAAAGAAGGTATGGAATTCTCCGACATATTTTACTCAGACTCGGAAATCATAAAAGGATTTGGCTCCTACTACAAATACTTCACCCAATATCCTTTCGCAGTTAGTGTAGTTATCAACGACGTTTTGGATTACTCGGATCCAAAAGTTCAAAATCTAATCGACGAAATGATTTTCAATTTCACTTCCCATCCCAACGTAGCCAGTCAAGATCTAGTTATATCTTGGTTAAAGTATTACAAAATTATAGCCCAGTCTCCGATAGGAATGGTGACTCTTCGAGGTTATAACCTGTCGGAAAAAACAGATTTTTTGGATGGTTTAAACCGGATCTTCCTCAATTTCCAGCCGGCTAAAGTGTTCAGAGGAGATATTGTTTTTAACGAAGACAAAACTGAAATTGTTTCCAGTCGCTTTTTATTAGTCGCCAAGAATGTTAATAGTAGGACTGTAGAAAACAAACTTTTGGAAGATCTGAGAAAAATAGCCGACAGTTCACCCCTTCCCTTATTGGTTTATTCTTATCTTTTTCCGTTTTTCGAAGAAACGCTGCTGATACGATCCTTAACATTTCAGGTAGGATGGGTGACCGCTTTGCTTCTGGTTGGAATATTCTTCCTCTTCTTACCCAGTCTAAAATATTCGCTGTGTGTGGCAGTGGCTATCGTATCTTCTCTCTTTTGCACCGTTGGCTATATGTCTCTATGGGCCGTCAAGATCGACATGTTATCTACCATAGTGCTTATTGTGAGTGTAGGATTCTCCATTAATTACCCGGCGCATATCTCCTTCGCTTATATTGTAAATAAGAGCAAGTGTGGCGAAGAACGTCTTAAAGAATCTCTATACGGAGTAGGTTGGCCCATATTACAAGGGACCGTTTCGACAATCGTCGCAGTTGCTATATTATCTTACCAATATTCTTACGTTATCTTAACTTTCTTTAAAATAATTACCATTATTTCAGTACAGGTATGCTTCCATTCTATGTTCGTTCTACCAGTTACTTTATCGGTGAGCGACACGTTATCTACCGATTACTTCGCCGACAAGTTTACGAAGAAGAAAGAAATAAAAAATAATTATAAGGAAGAAGATATTGTAAAATTAACGCCATTAATTTAAATTAAATATAATACTTTTTGTATTGTATTCTCATTAATTATGTAGAATTTTAAATAATAAGTTCCTGTATTCGTGATAGTGTTTATCATAAATTAATTAAATCTTTTAATCAATTTTTTAAAAAATTCTTATTTTTTTATCCTCCGTAAACCGGATCAAATTAATTTTTTTTTTGTTATTGGAACGAGTTATCGAACGCAAGTGCACAATGACAACAGTTAGAACTATGTGTGTCAAGTTCAAAAACCTTCCTCGCAATATTATCCTAGATAAACCATGAGGTGACCTCTAGCACGAAAAAATATTCAAAATAAATAAAAAAAAATTCAAATTCTTCCCCTATTTCTTTAATTTTTAGTAGCACAAACTATAATTTAAATTTTCTAAAAATAAAATCTCAATAATATCTATTTAATACATTTGAAAAAAAAAATGTAAATACGAACAGATGCATTATTTAGTTTCGTATTACGTCATAACTACGCATCACGTAGAAAATAATAAATAATATAGTGACGTAGATCCAGACGTATTTCTTTCAATGTCCTTTCCGTGTCATATTTTTAATTTATTCTGTCAAACAAACATTAGGTAACGCGTATTACAATGAAGGGGAAAAAAAAAACATTATTTAATGCATTAAAATCTTAGAATATTTTATCTAAAAGATAATTAATCAGTTTATAAATTGTTCGTTCTTCTAACATTTATTTTATTTTATTTTTTATTAAATTCTCTATATCCAGACAATTTAGGCCATTTTTTAAATTTTATTTTAAGTTTTACTCTAGATTTTTTAAAATGACATAATCGTATTTAAAAACTAATCATCGATGTATACTTCGTTTACGAATTTAAAAAAATCACCTTTTTATTATTTAAATTATTATAAAAAGTTATTTTATAAATAATATCACTAATCAAATTAAAATAAAAGCAGCTTTTCACACTGTCTTTTCAATAAAATTACGATAATAATAAAAATGAATATTCAATTTATAAAGATTTTGAAATTTTTTTCAAGAAAAATCGATACGCAGATAATAAATAAACTGCCATTTTTAATTAAAAAATTTAATGTTTATTAACTAAATTAATTAAAATAACAAATACAATTACAAAGTGTGGTAAAACTGTTTTTAACCGTTATTTCATTACGAAAGCCATTAAAAATTCGTGGCCAGATTACCAATGCAAAGTCAAATTTATTCCCTCTCGACGTATTTTTCAAGATGGAGTGTCATAATCTAAATTTTCTCACTATACGCTCCCGAAATCGACGTTTTCGTCCAGTAATTAACTCAAATTCACATTATATTTCGTCTTGAAGTTATTTTTATGACATTAAATCGATTGCAAATAATCATAATAAGGTATTATTGACAAAAACCATGTCGTCGTTTTTATATCCTTTTATAAAAATGGATTTTAAACTAAACGATTTATCTTCGCTATCCACACACATTTGGACTTCTTCTTCCGGAGTATTTTTAATTTTAAAACTTACGCGACTTATGCGTCTGACGTCAGACACATCGGGCAAATGAGACAAACTATATTTCTCTATGACGCTCATAATAACGGGTATCACTAACAACGAATGAAACGCCGTACTTACGATTACTAAAAGTACTATTTTAAAACAAATGATTAGCATATAAGAGCTGCTGTAAAGTAAAACGGAAACCCCGATAACGGTCGATAACGATCCCTGAACAATGGGCATACCGACCGCATAAAGGGCGCTTTTCATCTTATCGTTGGAATTTCTATGTTTGGACATCCTAAATGCAAAGGTAGTGTGGGCCGGATAATTAATAGACAAACCGATGCCCAACAGTAATATAATCATAGACATTAAATCTAATTTCACTCCCCACAATGCCATGTAACCAACAGTTTCGATTAGAGTAGATATCACCGCGATAGATACGCATACGGCACACTTGACGTTTGGAATAAATAAAAAGAAAATGGCGGCTATGAGTATAACGGTGGCCCAACCCGTCTGAATAACAATAGAACGAATAAGCACAGACTGCTCGAAACCCGGAAAGAATATAGAGTGAACGATGAGCGGTAACGGGGAAGAATCCGCGATGTTCCAAACATCTTGCAAGAGCTTCTTCTCTTCAGAGATGTCGTTGACATTTTCACACAACAACAAAAAGCGCGTAGAAGTAATTTCCGTTAAGTTTTCGTTAAAATTGATGTCTTGTTTGAATTGTCTGGCTAAGGGAATATTCAAAAAGACTTCGTTCAAACTGTCGACGAACTCTCGTTTGTCCGATAAATCATAACCGTTCAATACGATTTTACTAAAAGGCGAGAGTTGGAAAAGATTAAAGAATTTTAACCAAGAAATTCTATTTTCCACTCCGCTTATAAAAGGATGATCTTCAAATTCTTCAAGAAGTTCGTTCACTTGTTGCTGTACTCCAAGATCGGCGAAATTCATTGTTTTATTAATGGCAACGTGCAATATGTAAGGGTAGCGAGTGAAATATTTGTAATAAATTTTTATCGCCAAAGCTAAATCCGAATCGGAAGAAAACGCATCGGCTAGCTCCATGCCTTCTCTCAAAAATTTAAATCCCCAAATTCCGAAACCTAGAACTGTGATGAAAACCGCAATAATAATAATTTTAACGCTATTGTACCTTAAAAGACCTCCGAGCTTATCTCTGAAAATAGTCATTATATAATCTTCTTCCACCGTCTCGAGCTCCTCGTCTTCCATAGAAATCCTTTTATCTACGATAACAGAAGAATAAATCAATTCAAATAGAAGTCATACATTACATCAAAAATTAGGAAAAGTTAAAGTATTATTGTTATGTAAATTACGCTACTCACCGACTTTAATACACAAAAGAGGGTGAAGATTGAGATGTTCTCGATAGCCACTCATTGCTATAACGGATCCGAAGAAAAAAATTAAATAGACGAAAGTAAAAAATATGCAGATTGCGGCGTAGGAACAGAATATCTGCATGGCTTTATAAGGACTGAGGACGCCGATACAAAATGCTAATAAATTAGTGATGGAAGTTATAGTCACAGAAACTGCCGCTTCGGAATAACACTCGGCCATTCTCTTCGATACTGACCATTCTGTTTTCGTTAACCTCCACGCTGCTATGAGTACGTACGCATCGTCTACCTCCATACCTGAATCAAATATATTCATTTTAAATAATTTTACATAAGGAATCTTATCTAATTTGACGTTTTGTATTAAAATTTTATAATTAATTTTAAAAATGAACAGCGAAACATAGAAAGTAAACAGAATTTTAATTACCTAATATTAAAAATGGCAAAGCTATGTTAATGTCGACGTAGGTCAAACCGCACAGCATGGCAAATCCAAATGCGGCCACAATTGCCAGTATTGCAGACACACAAGCAAATATTCCCAAGAGTGGTTTACTCCTAATCCAATCCGAACTCATACAACTTATAGAAGAAAATATCATAATGACCACGGCTACGATTCCCGTGAAAGGAAGCATATTTGACGAAAACTCTTCTAATTCTTTCTCCACGGAAGAAGGAACAAACACGTAAAGGACTAATTCGTCGGATATATTCTTTTTTAACTGTTCTAGAAGAGTGTTTTGCCAAGTTTCTGATATTAATTGTTTGTCGACGTCACCGTTGAGAACGTAAACCAGTCTCATGGCTCTGATATCTGTAATGATTCCGTTATCGTCGGTATTCACTCCGCCTAAATTTATTACAAAGGGCTGAAAGACAAAAGTGAAGGGGTCAAAGTTGATGGGATATTTAAGTTTTGAATTTTTTCCAGTTATTAACGGCTCTAATTCTTTTAACGTATTGCGAAGACATTGCCCTTCGTTAGTAGCGCAGATGTCTTCATATTTAAAGGTGCTGTGGTTCAGAGTTACTTCCATGTTACGAATTTGTTCGTCCAAAGTCAATATTCTGTAGAAAATATCTTTTTTGATCATATTTCCACCGTCCGAGGCCGTAAACATGACGTGTATCGAGTTTTCGGTAGAGATAGCTCTTATTATATCGAAATTGGATGAATAGTTCATAGGGAATAGTTTTTGAAGGTTTCTCATTTCGGTCATCGCTCTTCCGTGCTGGACCGAGTACAGAATAGTGGGATCGCGTTCTAACTTTATTCTCAAGAAACCAAAAGAAAGTATCGCTGTTATAATAATAGGAAATGCGAAAAAATAAGCAGGTTTCTGCGATATTTGACGGCCGAGACGATAATAAAAACTAGACAATATTCTTTGAATATAATTAAACTTCATGGCGACTTTAATATATCCTAAAATTGAAAATATTGAATAATAAATAACATAACTCGTTGGTAAAAATGTAATTACATTTGAGTACCATATGAAATTTAATGATTACTTTAATGCAATAAGTAAATTTTGTAATTTAATCAAAAATTTATATTGTAATAATAAATAAATAATTAAAAACTTCCCGTGTCTTTATAAAAAATAGTTTAAAATGAATATTTGATTAAGAAATTATATAACAAATGTACTATGATTTACCGTTTCGCATTAATAACTTCAAAATATTCTTATAATCTCTAACCTTAAAAACGCGTTTTCTTTCTTATTTATAACTAAAAATCAAAATACTTATTATAATTGAGTTATTTTTACAACTTACTTTTTCAAGCTTCTTGTAAACTTTAATTCTCTCACTCGGGCAGTATATATAAGAAATAAACAAAAGAAAATTTGTGACGTAGATCACTTGGATATAAATGGTTGGCTTAATTCCAAAGGAAAACATACCTATGACTTTTCTACGTTTCCTCCGAGGTTATTTATTATTTATATGCACGAAAGTTATCGGTAAATATAAAAAATTATTATTAACAATAAATTCATTAAATACTTTTAATTAACGCGCTTCAATATTAATAAGAATCATATTTTATTTTGAGCGAACAAAACTAAAAAGAAACGTTAAGGTAATTCTTAAGGAAACAATTAAAATTTCTATTCATCGACACCGTGACGTCACGTTTGAAATAAAGAAATACACAATAATAAATGTCAGCTCATTGAAGTTAACGCAAACTGACAGTTTGACAACATCAAATTGAAAATAACATTAGCAGGTTCGTGCGCAGACTTTATAAAAGGTTAAGATTTAAAAAATACATTGTAATGTAGTTGATTGATTTTTACATTATAGATAAATTAAGAAGCACGATACAGTAACGGGTACAATCAAAATAAATGTAAGTTATATATATTGTACTGTTTTATTATCTATACTAATATTATAAAGAGGTAATATTTGTATGTAAGTAAGTTTGGATGCAGCAGGTAATCTCCAAAACTACTCATCCGATTTCAAAAATTTTTTCACCAATATTTAGAATGGAACTTCAGGGTGGACATAGGCTGTATATTATTCCGTTAAACATGGGGGATGGACAGTTCTTTACGGTAAGCCTTACGGGGAAGGCTTACCGTAAAGAACTCTGCTTCTATTTATACTATTTTAGATGCGG